GTTTAGGATTGCCTTCCACTGTTCTAGTTAAACAGTTCTACTAAAACATGTTTTCTTTAATCCAACTGTTTTTAATAAACTTTTTTTTCTGCATTTTTTATTTTATTTATTTTTTATGTATTTTTTTTTTTTCCTACTTGCTTTGATTCTGTTTTATCTTCCTCTATTTTAACCATGTAAAGCACTTTGCATTGTCTTTGTACTGAATTGTGCTGTACAAATAGATTTGCCTTGCCTTGCCTTGCCTTGCCTGGGAGGAAGAGGGACCTGCTGTAGAGGTGCCTTAGGAAAACACTGCGGCGGCACCCTAGGTGCACTAAGGAGTGTCATCACAGATCCCTCCTCTAAGCTGTTAAACTTTACAGCCATTGTTGTTTCCACCACGCTGTTTACATTCTGTGGTTTTTGTAAAGTTTGTTGTTGTTTTTTGATATGCCTATAACTATTGCTTTTTTTTTTTTTAAGAATTATTTATAAATAAAATCGTAAACTTCAAAATCATTCCACCTTGCAAATTTCATTTAATCTAAGTATTATACTTTTAATAACTGTATAGCTTTTTGGAAAGTTGGGAAACATTTTCTTTTGCTTGCAGTTGCCCCTGAGGTGCTGATTTTTTTTCCTATATTGTTTTATTCTATTTTATTTAGGGACATCATAGTAAAGAGGCTGAATATAAATGCATGCCACCATTTTCCATTTTTTTAATTCCAATTTTTTTTGAAAAATATTATTGATATTATTGTTGTTCCTCTTCAGAATCAGTGTATCTATATTTGTTGTTAAATTAAAGTCAGTTGTGATCAAATAAATAAAAAAGGAGTCAACTTGTTGCTGTATTTTCTTTTTTACTGTGAAAAAAAATAAGGAACTTAAAAGGGTATAACTGCTGGATTAAAGCTACAGTGTGTAACTTTTAGCGACATCTAGCGGTCAGACTGCAGCAACATGAACATCTCCCCCCCAACAGTACGGCGAGCGTTACGGGACAAAATGTCTTCCACGACGTCCGCATCACCTACCTTCTCAAGTGATGAGGTATGTTACAGTATAGTTATAGTTATAGTATTTCATTAGTCTGTGTAGGGTACAGATTTCATGTAGACTTAAGATAATAAATATACCCGTTATTTTTTCTACATCGTTGTGACATTTTGGCGATTTCGCAATCGCTAGTTTGTTGGCTCTGCGCTGCCGTAGCGCAAAGATGTCTGCCTCCATGGCTGCGAGACCCGCTCCTATGTAATTATAAATAACGAATTCTAAGGCAACGCAAATATTAAGGTTAAGAGGCTGAGCTCGTAGATGATGATAAATAACATAGTTATGTATAATATATTACATTTCTGACTGTATATCCCTGTAATTATTACACACTGTAGCTTTAAGTCAAAGACCAATAAAAATCAGAAAAGGACACATGAAGAACATCAAATGCAACATGTATATAATTTATTTCAATAAAAATGATGCATCACAAACTTTTTTCTCTTTAAATAAATACCACAGGGAACCACATAATATAACAAGCTCAAAGACCTGAACAAACAATGACAAAAAATTTGTGCGAAAAATAGCTTGCGAACATTTAGTAAACATTCAGCCGAGTGACAAACGTTTCACTCTGAACACATCCTTAAAAAAAATGTTCACATATAACAGGTTTTGTGTTTTCTTCCAACTTTTATAGAAAATTCACTTTTCTATAAATACTTTTGCCTTTTTTGGAGACTTTTTATTTGAAGAATGGAAATATTATAGTACTGTACATAAGAATGGGAGCATTTTTTTTGATGAACGTTTGTTCAAATATGGGAAAGTGCTATACAGTGCTTTTTTTTATAGACTGGGTAATGACTTTAATTAAATTATAAGGAGAGTTCCTCTGGAACGGAGGGCCATAATCATTAAAAACGTACATGAATCCTTGAGGATAACAATCAAATTAGCCCACCTTAGCTTGGATTACAATCACACTTCAGTCCATTGTATGAACGACATTGAAATATGTGGGTGATTTACCAGAGAGTCCAAATGATAAAACCAACTGTAACCCTTATTCCTCTTTAAACAGAAGGGTTTGTCTTAGCTGAGCTTCTATAGGTACATCCGTGGGTAATCTGAGCGAGGACATTGGCAGGGGGGGAACTGAATGTGCGTCGTAAGCATGATATAAAACAGCAGCTGTGCCTGGAATGTTGTAGTGTCAGCTCATTATTCAAGACTCATTGCACATAAGAGTTTTGCGTCCTAAAGCACGGAGGATGCAAAGGCATGAATTACATTCCTTATTATAGAAGAGTATTGACAAAACACTAACCTTTTATAATGGAAAAAAACGGCTGAGGTGCAAAGATAGGCCACCGCCAGGAGGGTGCAGTGTGGAATTTCAGTTGATAGCCCACAGAGCTCAGGCTCAAACAGGTCAGTTTGCAGAGGAAACGAGCAGAAAGTCTACAAACCACGAATATATAACAGACATGCAAACAATCACTTTGCACAGTGTTTCCAAAATTACATGTCTAAGACAACAAAAACAGGCAGCACTCTTTATAATCTACTGTCAATCCATGATTGAAATGTCAATGCTTAAAAACAAACAAACAAATCTAAGCCTTGTTCTAACACTTTTAGCAGATTTGTCATTTCAGAATGCCATACAGTGAATGTGTTAGGAAAGTTTTGCTCAAGAACCTGTGTCACGACTTTAAACCCCTGCGTTAATTTATCTGCAAATCTACACAGAAGAAAAACAAACAGCAAGAAAAAAGAATCCACTTCCAGGAGATCTGTTTTTCACATGTAAGCACGTACAGCGACTGCCTATTTAAGTCTTCAACCGGGGATCAGTGATAAGAGCTCTGACTGAACCTTGAGATACAGTACGTAAAGATTTCCTCTGCAGGAACAAAGTCCAAAAGATTTTGACCGTATTAGCCAATCCAGCTGCTCATCTACGTGCACTAAAGGGTTGGTCATTACCACCACCCCAGACTGACAGAAAATCCCTGCTCCTGTTTCCAGACGCTAACTTTAGTGTGTTTTTACTTTGATCAGAAATTGCAGAACGACCAGGGAAAGCTCTTAAGATGGGCCCCGATTACCTCTATTTAGCCTAATGAGCTGTATCGCAATTTAATTTAAGGGAAAACGGGTGAAACTTTGAATTAAAATCCCTTTCTTATAACTGCCCGATATCCATTATACTCAATATAAGCCATGAGAATGCAGTCTTAGGACTTATGGATCTCATCCTAACCTGCAAATTTAAGGCTCTAACACTTGGCAATCTACTAATCCATTTTAGTCTTGTTTTTGTTTTTTGTTTTTAAGGGGAGAGTTATCTACTCTGCAAAAACAATCAAGAAACAAGTAAAAATGTCTTAAATTAAGTGTAATTAACCTCAATTTGAGTAGGAAAATAAGATGATCTGCCAATGGAATGAGGATGTTTTCTATTAAAACAAGATGATTAGATAATCGGAACTTGAAATGAGACAAATTCCTTATTTTAAATGTATATTGTCTTGTTCCATTAGCAAAATGTCTCACTTACCTCCTCAATTCAAGAAAAAATGCACTTATTTTAAGAATAAATGACTTATTTAGATCTACTTTTTTTGCAGTGTAATTCTCAAACTAAGCAGCAAAGATAATGTGTTTCTTCATGTTTACTGGGGCTGGGCTGGATTGGAGCGTTTCCTGGAGACTGTGCATCTAGACGCATTTAGGGAAGACTGACAGAAAGCGGCTGAAACAGCTGGAGCAGCTGAGAGGCAGCCTGCAGACTCCTGAATGTTATTTTCCAAACGTTTTGTCAGTTTTAAATTAAACACAATTTTTTCGTCCTGACAAACTAACGAACCTTGGAATATTGAACAAGGCTGTGGCAAAGGTGTAGGACTTTTTTTTTTATCCTATGTTTTATTGGCTTGTAGTGACCAGTACTGTGTGTTCACCCTGGTACTGTTGGCACCCCGTTTGTTATTATTATGTGCGGTTTCTAACATTGCATGATGAGGAAGCAGCCTCTCTGGTTGCAGTAAACACTGGATGTATTGAAACACAGCAACCACAACTTTTTTTCTTTAAACGATCTAGGCTGGTGCCAGCAGAGGAACGTGACTACTGTTCCTTTAGAGGACAGAAAATAATCATAGTTATTCTGTAATTCAATGATGTGCTATGCATGTGAGCTCTTTGGCACATTTAACTATTTATTTGTACACATAAATTCCAATTATATATAAAAAAAAGGATTATTTAGGAAAGAGATTTTTAAGAATCTAGAAGCATTGACAGTCAGACCATGGCATCGTCAGAATATTAGACACCTCTAGGATTATAAAACTTGAACATTTTTAAGTTTCATCACAGCATTAACAGGGTGTAACTACAGGCTCTGCTAAAGAGGAAGATCCTAATCTCCAATGGTTCATATCTACGAAGTGTTCTGCTGACAGCAGAATCTAATGCAACAGCACGTCCGACGCAAGAACAGGAGACAAACGTCTACATGTTCACACGTTACTGATCTTTAACACTGCCACAAGAAGACAAAAATAAAGACAGAAATATGGCAGATTGTTATCTTATCAGATTGGAATGTACCGGTAAGACAAAGCACCAATGCGGTGCAACCTTAACAGCTACACTGGAAAAACGACCAAGAAATAAGTAAAAAGTTCTTAAATTAAGAGTATTTACCCTTAATTTGAGTAGTTAAATGAGATGATTTGCCAATGGAATTAGTATTTTTACTCTTAAAATGAGATATTTAAATAAAAGGCATTTGAAATAAGACAATGCAATTGTGTTTTCTTATTTTAAGTGTAAATAGTCTTCTTCCATTGGCAAAATGTATCTTTTACCTCCTCAGTTCAAGAACAAATTAATTTATTTTAAGAAAAAATTACTTATCTAGTTTTCGATTTTTTTCCAGTGTAGAATACAGAGTCTCTTTTATGACCTCAGTGATGCATAAAGCCATACGATCTGTCATTTTACCATTGACACATCATTTTATATGGTAAAAGAAACACTAGAGATATTGCCCTACTTTAACTAAAGTGGGCTCAACTCAAAAGATGGTTAACACAGAAATATTACAAACAGTAGATGAGGTAGCTTAAAGAAATATTATATGTAAAAAAAAAGATGGAAAAACAAACGTATTAAATGCGGAAATGATGGGAAATAAATATGTTCCTCAGCTCAAGAGGATCGTTGCAGTGAGCCAGGGACTACGACTGGCCTTACCTTCGATAGTCAATTTGGGAAATAAGTTCATGAAGGCAGTGTAAACACATCTGGATTTCCCTGATCACTGAGTTTCTCAGAGCTCCAATTCTACAGGCTTGTTTACAGTTGCAAGGCTTTTGTTGCAGTTTCCATTGGGGTCCATGGCTTTGTCCTCTTTGCCACAGACCTCCGTCATCTTCCCAAGGCACCTTTCATTGGCGTCACAATCATCTGAGCTGCCCTTGCTCCGTCCCTGCTGTTCACTCTGCCAGCTGTTGCGGCTGTAGATGTATCCATTGACCGGTCCTGAGTTCCTTATGTCGTGCCTCTTTGAGCAGAGGATTTCCTTGAAAGCGTACCTGAATTCAGGACTCCTGCAGTAAATGAGTGGATTGAAGGCAGAGTTTGAATAACCTATCCAGTTGAGTATCTTGAAGAGGTTTTGGATGTCAAGTTGGGCTATGGCCAACACCACGTTGACCAGAAAGAATGGGAGCCAACAAAGTGTGAACACCCCCATGATGATACCCAGAGTCTTTAGGGCTTTATGTTCACGGAGGCAGAACTTTGCCCTTTTCAGTCCACGTCCGTTGGTAGGTTCTACAGACTTCAAGTCACTGCTGTCGCTGTTGTGAAAGCGTCCAACACTTTGGTCAATCTTTTTCAGTTGTCGCCTGGCTTCCTGGAAAACACGGCTGTACACGAAAACCATGATGACCAAAGGGATGTAGAATGAGATAATAGAGGAGGTGATGGCGTACAATGGAGTGACATTAAACTCACAGCAGTCAACACTGTTAAAGCATTCCATAGCTGCAGGATCATTTCGTTCCCCCAACCTCATGTGGATGGGGGGGAAGGATATCAATGCAGCAATCACCCACACCAGTAGAATCAGAATTCGAGCTTTGCACTTTGTCAACATTGACTGGTAGCGAAAGGGTGAAGTAATTGCCAGATATCGGTCTAGAGCTATAACGCACAGTGTCTCGATGCTGGCGGTCACACAAAGGACATCGGTAGCAGTCCAGAAATTACACCAGAATTTACCAAAGTGCCATTTCTCAAAAATGATGTTACAGGCACCAAAAGGAACAACAATAAGACCCATGACCAGGTCAGCACAGGCCAGGGACGTGATGAAGCAGTTGGTGACATTCTGCAGGCGTTGAAAACGGGCAATGGCTGTTATGACCAGGATGTTTCCCAAGACAATAAACAAAACAAGTACAGACATGATTATGCCTAGTATAATCATGACTGTTTCACTGAAGTGTTCCTCATTTTTGTCGGATGAAGACGAGTTGTTCGAGTCAGCTGTCAGAGAGGCGTTTACTTCCACAGAGAGCGTGGTATTTTCCATCTAAAGAGACCATAGGACAAACACACGTATAGATGCATGTGTGCATCACACACACACCACACACACAGACGTACACACAAGAAAAAGAAAATATTGTCATTTAGATAGAATATTTATCCATCAGAACAAAAGAGAAAACTTCCTGCTCTAACTATTTGAGTATATCCTTTTTTATAAGTGTCATTAAATCAAAAATAAAATAAAAAATGAATTGCTTAAATGCACACTTCTGGATCTGCATCTGCTCAAGGAAGCTTAAGAACATTTTGCAAGCAATAAAAAGCAAAACTACAAACCTCAACAGGTAATTGCTGTGAGTCCCGCTCCCTCCCATGCACTGTAAAAATCCTAGCGTGCAGATAACTCCTGTAGAGTATCACATGCCCATTCCACTTTTAATCTTAGCTGAGTCCGTCAGTTGAGCAGTGTTTCCTCTAAAGTGTCTCCCAGGCTATTTGTCAGAGTCATTATAACAGGCTGCGCTGACATCACGGTCTGCGCTCGGCCAATCAGGCAGCCTGGCTGTGCAGGGTGCTGAGAGCTCTCAGGAGTTTGAACACACTGTCCTTGCAGTTGCAGTTGCAGCGCTGCAGAAGAGAGAGAGAGAGAGATAGAGAGAGGGAGGGAGAGAAAGAGAAAGCAACAACTGGCAAATAATAAGAATTTACCTATTTAACTTTTTTGTTTTTAAATGTTCCAGAATTTATATTTTATTTTCAGTAAAGTGAAGACGTTCAGCTGAGCGGTAGACCTGGGAGAGAGTCTTTTAAGTCTTAGTTTGTTAGTTTGGATCCCATTAAAAACAGGTGAGCCCCATTAACAGGACTGTGCCTAAGGTCAGGATAGATTTACAGCTGGAACGTCAAAGCAGGAAGTAGTGCACCTATATTATTAGTAATTTATTGACTGTTTGATTCTTATCGGACTTCTTGTCGTGACAAAACCTTGGAATGTGGTCGGGTCACAATCTATTTTCCACTCTTACTGTAATTCAAATCAATCTGTGAAGCCTATATTTAAAAACTTTGAGCAACCATCAATAAATTATATTAACAACACATGCGATGATAGGAATTTGTCTGTGCTAACTCATAACTACCCCCCCCAACCCCCCCTTTAACACACACACAAACAAAAAAGCCTTTTTGTAGTTACCACAAGTTTGCATTTTGCATGCCAGGTCCACAGGTCTATATAAAGAAATATGCAAAAACTTTCATAGGTACACAAATATTACCGTGAGCTGCATCTTTGCGTTAAACAAAAAAGACACTGAGTTAATCCAGGTAGATGGAAAAGCAAGAGCCAGCAGAGGTGGAAAGAGTACTAAAAAAATTGTAATTGAGTAAAAGTATCTTTACTTACTCAGAGTAAAAGTAAAATTACCCATCTCAAAATTTACTCAAGTAAAAGTACAAAATTACTTCATCTAAAATTTTATTTGAGTAAAAGTTACTTAGTTACTTTGAGTTATTTAATGCAAAAAAAGGATGAGTCATGAATCGAATTGAGCGCAAGGTGTTTTAATCGATTTCAAG